TGTTTTCCAACCCAGCACTAAGAGACAGCAGGCAAGGCAGTTTTGGATAGGTAAAGGTAGCGTTTTGATTATTAGAGAGGACCATTGATTTCCTGTAGGCTTATAAAACAAGCCCATCTTTCGGTAAGATGTCCTTTGCATATATGAAGTTCATACCGTGCTCCCTGGAATTTTATTATTATGATTATTTGTTTTTACAAAATGAAATATATGCTTCCAAATAAAGAAGAGAAATAGATTTTTAGTTTTAATGAAAATTGTAAATTAGAATTAGCTAGTACCTGACTATTTAGCCCTCCCCAGCTTGAGAGGCATTTAGTGTGTGGAAAATTCAACATGAAAGTGAGCTTATTTTCAATTTTTTTTTTCCGCACAGAAACTGATATACCAGCTCACTGGACCCTATGATCTGGAATTCTGTTTCCAAGGGCGATAAGTACTAGATACAATATAGTGTAATATAAAACTCCACTAATGAATAATTATACAGATATATGCCCCAAAGGAAATTTCACATCAGTGCTGAAGGGGTGTGTCAGGTACTGAAGCATGAGAGTCAGTGCTGCTCATCAATGATGATCTTTGCTGACACAAATGTGATTTATATTTTAATTATCCACAGAGGCGTCTACTCTCTTTCTGAATTTCATGAACCTGTTGGCCATGCTGACCTCTTGGCTGGGATGATATGTAGTTGAAAAAAATGTATCTTTTATGAACCTAAATAGGTTCCCCTTGAATTTTATTAGCAGTGCCTGTTTTCTTACTTAAAAGAGAGGAAGCAAATATGCCATGAGCTGCAACAGCCAATCCCCCCTGAAGTTCATAATCTTACATGTATTTATGCCAAATGAGCTTCTGCACGACTCGGTTCAAGCTGAAGACATGAGCATTTTGTATTGCAGGGAGGCTTTATTTTCAAACAAAGTGAAAACCAAAGTGTTTGTTTTCCTTTTCTCCCCTGAATATTACATAGCAAAAAGTGCATGTATGGGTGTCATCCTCAGTTTCTGAAACTGCTTTTTGTAAACAGACAAAGTTAATTTAGATCTCATGAATGTTCGAACTGTTCCTTCCACCGTTTCCTTGTAAACGTTGTACTGCAACTGTTACTCAGTTATCTCTCTAAAGAAGCTATTTACAGTTTTCCATAATGGCTTTTATTTTGTCTGAAGTGTTTTATCAGCTTCATTGTTCATTCATGTATTGCTTACGAGTAATACAAATAGCTTAGCAGAGATGTTTGGGTTACCCATAGCAGCATCTTTCTTCTGTATTAAAATTGGATTATTTAATCTATTTCTGTTCATTCGTCTCTCTAGACAAATTTCCAAAGAATACACTTTGCCACCAACTTCTCAGAATTACCTCTCAGTTGGCTTACTTCCATTTCTTCAATAAATCCCATAGAGGGCCTTCAGCTTTCAGAAAATTCGTATCAATCAGGAACTGGCTTCCACCATACGGGAGTTTCCTGTGCAGTGAATGTGTCTGACAATCCCAACCTGCCTATGGAGTTTTAAGGGAAAAATGTACCCATTTCTGCATAGGCAGGAGGTAAAAAGCCTTCTGACTGCCCAAAGATATCCTCTGTTAAACTTGTATTTCTCTAGACAAAAAGCAAGGAATGTCATTTCAAGAAGTAAACTCAGCCTCTTTTATGGACCAGCTGGGCTTTTGAGGTACTTCCCCATTCCTGCCAGCAATTCATTAGTTTTATTTATAATCAACTTTAATCAGCTTTCTAACACCCCTTCTGCAATCTCAAATCTTGATCTTGTGATTATTTTCTCTGCCACAAATCTCTTAAGCTTTCAAAAAGTCTACAGCTGCTTGTTTACATAGGGACTTTCAGGAAAAATAATCCAAATTAACTGAAGGTGTGAATCCAAAGTGTATTAGCTAAACAGCTTTAAATCGGTCTTCCTTTGGAAGATAATTCAGTTAAATCACATTAAAGACACCTTTGTGGTGAATGAGTGTGGCCACACACTGGCCAAATACAGGTTAAGTTACCCACTTAGTACGTTTAATTTGGATCCAGTTTCTTGTGTGCTTCTGTGGGCAATATCCCTGCCACAGCTGTACCCCACGGGGTGGTGAAGTGGTCTGCGTCATGCTGGAGCCCACTGTGCACCCTGCTGGTATCTGTAGCTGGTATCACTTGGCTGAAACGGGATGTAACGTAACCTGGAGCATCACCAACTTACTGTCAATGCATAAAACCAGGCTCCCATCATTAGTGTTACTGGTACTGGAGTGGTACACATAGTCTCAAGTGGGAATCAGCCCTATTATAATAGCTATTAAATGAAAGCAAATTAGCTGGCTCCTGTACAAAGAGCAGAACCAAAGAGCTGCTGGGCTGGGCTGGGCAGGCAGTGAGCTGCAGCAGTATTGGGTCTCCCAAGGTCCCACCTGGTGCTTTGCCAGAGAGGTCTTGGTGGTCCAGGGAGTCTGTGTGGGAGGGCCAGGCCTCTGACTTGCCTGGAAAAGTAAAATGTGATAATTTCTATCCTATGATAGATCACATGGCCAAACTCAGCTGCAATTTGCATGACTGGCTGTGCTCAGAGCAATGCTAGCCACCCAAGCTGAGTGATTTTATTCATGCAAATGTGCTCACGAGAAAGCCACGTTGTACAGGTTTGTGCCATTTTGCAGTCTACATCTGGTTGAAATATCCTTCCTTTCCCAGTTAAATGCTCTGGGAATTACCTGAGGCTTATTGCATTTTTGATCCCTTTCAAAATTCAGTAAAGTCTGATAGGGCTCGTAAATGATTTTCTAGCCCTCCATCCATTGATTTTCTCTCCTTGGGGAAAAACAGAAAACCCCATGAAGTTGTGAGATATAGTTCATTGCTTTTTCATACATTTTACCAGTTGCAGGCCAAAAATATAAAGTAATAATGCAGGTTCTTCTATTTGAATGCAATCTCAAAGGTTATAACTGTCAAACTAGAATATAGTTCCAAGGCTTTGAAAAGGCCAGTTGCCTCCAACAGTGCTTTTTCTTTAAGAAAAATGCCAGCCACCAGCTTGGTCTGTTCAAGAAGTGGTTTGTATTACACCATCAGCTTTGTAAAAAGAACAGCATAATGTTGTTAGTGACAACGGAGAGAGAATGGCTTAGTCAACTTAGAAAATGCTTTTTAGGCAATGTGAATTCCCCCAAGGTGAGTCAGTGAGACCAGATGTGTGACCAGAGAGGGGGGAACCACTGCCTTTATTTAAGCCTGGACTACTGAGCTTGACCATGTAAAGACCGTAGTAAATTTTTCATTGCGTGCACTCAACATTTGTATGTTCAGCTGTTGCATGTACTAAAAGATTTGGCTTAGAATAATGTTCTATGAAGCTAAGACACATGGGAAATCTCGATTCAGCATGGACAACTTTATAAAAGCATTAGTAATGGACAACGTGGAAGCTGAAATCAACAAACCCTATCCAGTCATTGACATGTCGCTAGGAAGAGGAAAAAAATGGTGCTTTTTGCTTTGGTTTTGACCAACTCATTCTGATTATGTTTTCTGAGAAAAAGCAGATAATCTTTAAAGAGAGGGCCAGGTTATGCACTGCAGTCTCTAAGCCAGAAGGAAGGGGCAGGTCAAGGGCAAAGAGGTAGCGCAGAAATTTCTGAGTTGTAATTGTGTCAGGTCAATTAAAATCTCGTAGTGCTTCTCTTTTATTAAAAACTAATTTATCGAGAACTGCTTTGCATTTGCCATAGGCTAAAAGAATACACTGGGGTTGCACACAGTGCACACGTGATCAGCTGACATATGGCAACTTCATGCCCAGCAGTAATTTGTTCGTGTGTTTGAGACATCTGATACAAACACAAGGTACTTGCATACTGAAATAAGTGTGTATATATTTATATATACACACTCAGGTTTTTTTTCCTTAACGCTTTGGGATAAATAATTAAATCACTTTTGGAAGTTTAGATTTGGGTAACGTATACTAATACCAGTGTAGTAGAGCTAAAGTTTCTTAAAACTAGAGTGTTTGACTGGTCTTGACTGTCACACTTCAGCAAGGTAAGGAGATCTACTGTCAACATAGCCACAGTTCTTTGCCAAAGCAAACAGCAGGAATGTAGCTTCATGAATTGTTGAGCTTCATCCTTTGGGATGGTGCTTCAGTTGACCTGCGCTGCTTGAAGTGTCCATTTTACAAAAGGGAAGCTCTAGGACAACATGATGAATATCAGCTTTATCACTGGGCAGTGTAGAATGCACGTGTGTCGGCTGCAACAAAGGCTGAGTGTTGAATTGCCTCTCAAAACATTTTGCAAAGCAAGGTATTGAAATGTTTCTGTTCCAGAAAAGCTTAGCTTTTTAATGAAATTCTATATGAACTTCAGCATGCTTAGCTAAGAATACTGCATCCTAAAAACCATCTTTGTTGTTTTCCCTGCTTAGTGGTTAATGCATCTATAGATGGTATGATTGTCTCATTGCAAGCAGCAATATTTTCATTGGTCATCACTTCTTAAACTTTTAGACTGTCTTGTGTTTTAAGAATTGATAGAAATTTAGAACGGCTAGTGCAAGGCTTCTTACACCTCAGCAAATTAACCTGAGCGTTTAATACTGATTGATGTAACAGTGGCTGCTTACATCCAAACATTGCACAAGTATTCATTTTCTAATCAGAGGCTTATGAGTGACAGGTAATTCTGTGTCAACCATTTGGTGACTGAACTTATTTTTGTAACAGAAATTGGCACATAGCTCATTGATTTAGTTGGAGGTTCTGGAGCTTTTTTGTGGGTTGAATTGTTTCAACGGATGAGACAGTGACAGAGACCTGATTCTGACCCTACTTAATGAGTAAAGTACCAGAATTGTAGATCTGTTGTGATTGGTGAGGTCAAAATTGAGATCCTATATAAATCCTAACCTGATAATTACTTTTATTTATTCTTGACTGCTTGTCTTGATGAGTTTGGGATTGTTTTAGCTTACTCTTGTCATTTTTTTCCCACAGAGCTGCTCAGAAATTGAACCTGTCTTCTAAAAAGAAGAAGCACAGGCCTTCTGCATCGTCTGCTCCTGAATCTCCGCTTTTCTCTACCAGCTTCAGCAGTATCCTTCAGACCTCCCCACCCCCTGCACCACCATGTTTGTTAAGGGCAGTCAGCAAAGTGAAAGACACCCCCGGTGTGGGCAAGGTAGGCCTTACCTTTATCGCTGAAACACTTATTTTCTGTTGGAGGATATTTTTTTCCTTGTGCAAAGCATCAAGAGAATTGGTAAAGCACATTGTTTCTTGTTTGGCTTTACTGCAGTTGGTCCCTGCATATGCACAAAGGCCTGACAACATAGTCTATGTAGTGCATGCAAATTTGTCATAAGGTTGAAGTTGATTTGAGCACAGACAGCCCTCACTGTGCAGCAATAATACATTCCAAGCTCTCAGGCAAAATGCACCGGTACTGGGGTCACGGTGCTACCCAGGGGTGGCACTGTCCATTCTGCTAGGGTTTCTGGAGCAGGCTGGTCTCTGTAGCTGTGTTTCAACTGTGTAGCGGGTGCTTGCTGTGGCATATTCTGGGTTTCTGATCCCTTTGTTGTCCAGGCTGGTATCTTGGCTGGACGCACTGTAATTTGCTTCTGGCTCATGTATCCTGGCTTTCTTCCAGTATGGTCAGGACAAGGCTGGACATACCTGATCGGCATACCTGAACAAAGCATATGCTGATAATGATGAATTACTCTGTTTTCCTTCTGTCATGTTACTTCCTTCCATTTTCCACAATCACACCCCTTAAAATGCTGTGTAGGTGCATACTCATGATGGAAAATGGTGGAAGCAATGGAGAAGGTGGCTATATAGTTTGTTGTTGCTGTATTATTTGTCTGAGTAGCCCTTTTTCCCTGTTAGAAATGGAGAGCCTGGCACATTACATCTGGGAATACACACACGCGGTTGCTGAGGACAGCAGTTTGCTTTAATCAAGGTAGTTTCTTATGCAAGCATCTGTGTGTGCGGCTTTTCCATATTCATTGGATACGAAGCAGAGACAATGAGTTTGTTGCAAATCTTTTTATTTAGAAGAGAAACTAATGCATAATCTTGGAGTACTGAGCATATGATGTGCTTCAGTATTTCTGTTGCTGGTTTTGGATATTCACTTTGGGAAACTGTACAGTTCCATTTTTTTCATAGAACAGTGGTGTTACTTTTGTGGCTGGTTTATGCCCATTTGAAAAGGGCCTGTAGGATTCCCTCCAGATAAGGCTCCCTTCCTTTCCTCTGGCTTGGTAAATGGGAAGAAATGTACAAATCTGTCATAATTGGATAGAAGGCAGTAGTGATGCCTACTCTGGCTTCAGTGGGAGGGGGAATAAGCTTGAACATGTTATATTTGGTGTAAGAACCTGCTATGGAAAATATTTACAATAGAAGCTCTCTTCTCAGGATTCCTGCATTGCTGTGCTTGAGACAGGTTATATCTCAATACAAATAAAATTTATGCTGAGGAATCATGGAGGATGTGGTTGTGAAAACAGGGGGCTAATTTCCCGTTGTTGAACTATGTGGACACTTACCCTGACTGTTGGTTTTAACCATTCCCAAGTAAAGGGTCTACATGCATGCACAGATGGAGCTCCGTGAAAACACTGTAAGCTTGACCTGAACGCTTCTTTCTCATCTGATCTTGGGTTTCTAATGAACAGGTCTTGGGGACCAGTTTTGCAGTATGCCCAAACAGAGATACAGATTGCTTCTCCATCAACACCATGTACCAGAACAGGCTCCGGGCTTTATAAGTAAAACTGAAATGTTGCAGTCCAGCAAATGAAGCTATTGGAGTATGTGAGATATAGCTAAGAGGCTCAAAAATGTTTTAACACACGCTTCTCCAAGGTAGCAGGCCAAATTGGATTAATTCATATAGTCAAAATAGAGAAAGTTCCTTTTTTCCACGACATTCTCATTAGCAAAAATACATCTATCCTGCAGTTTCTGGAATTCAGTTCCATTTTTCACCTCTTTGATTTCTTCTAGGAATCACCCTATAATTATGACTGAAAGCTCATATGGTTTCATCAGAGTTTCCCATCGGAGTTTCTCAGGGTTTACCTCTATAGCATAATTTACATTTCAATAGGTGAGAGATGGGTGTGAGGCATAGTAAGTGGGCAACAGCAGTATAGCAATGTCATTTATCTGTCAGAATGGGAAAACTTCTGATGAAGTACTGGAATTTTTGGCTTGTTTGCTTTTTATTTATTTATTTTTTATATATATGTTTAGTTTGGTGGGCACATGTTCTGATATGAAAAGGAAAAAACTGTTAATTTTCTCAGCATTTCCTTTCACATATTTTTTCTGTAAGTTTATAAATCCATAAATTGTGGACCCATGGGGAGGAATTGGGTTCAGGGAAGCCAAACTTTATTTTCAGTCACTTAGTTTTTTTCTGGTTTCTATTTAAATACCATGTTATGAACAATCCCAGTGCGATAAAACTCTGGTTCATTTTGGGCTTGAATGGGCTGGGAATTTTCTGGCAGGGCAGTTTGTTACTGGAAATCCTGGCTCAGCAGAAATGGAAGGCAGGCCCTTGCCAAGGTATTTGGTTTCCAAGATGCCTGGGTATGGCATCGTACAGGCAACCTGGGGCTGGCTTTCCAGCAGGCAGGCTCTTGGCTGTAGGGCTAGGAGCCCCAGCACAGAAGCTCTGTGTTACTGGCTTGGCATCAGCTTGAGAGCTATTTCCCAGGGTAGATACATATCCAAGAAGCTGCAGGATGGGAAGTCAGGAGCTTCAAAGCATAGACTTTGAGGTTAAATTTCATTTTGCAGTTTTATGAAATGGGCTGGGCACCAAAGAGCAGACATTTTTTTCACGTCTGTTAGTAGAATTTTCAAAGACTCTACTTCTCGTTACAAAATTGATGGGAATACTTCATTTCAAATTCCAAAATTTCTGAGGAATAGATCAACAGTCTTGTGCATATAATTTATTGAATTAAACTGGGAGGATTTTGCTATCAACGAGATATTTAAAAGTTAACTAGTCAGCTCAGTTAGTGTGGATATGGGTACAACTGAATAGTCTAAACAAACAAAGAGAAGTGATTTCTAGAGTTTATTTCCAGATTGTGTGTTTCCCACAAAAGCACTTACAAAGCAAGCTGTACTAGCCTGGAATTTGGAATAAATATTATTTGATTGCTAACTTTCAGCTTTGTAGGAGGAGGCGGGTGAAATAACAGAAAGCAGCATTTTATTTCAATGTTAGACACACCGTTGACCACACAGAAAAACAGCAGTGTCAAGGTGAAGTAGTAAGGGGTCAGATCCTTTGTTGGTCTCATTTCCAATTATCTCTCCCTAAAGTAAAGTAAAAGGGTTGCGACTATATTGAAAATAAATTAGCAGTGGTGCTTGTATGGGTTGTGACATACACGTGTGCTTTGGGTTTGCCTTTGCTAGCAGAGGGAGCTGATCCCCGGGGAAGGTAGTCTGTTATTTCCGCAGTTGTTTCTTGATAGCAGTTTTCTTTTGGGCTGAACAACACTCTAGCTCTGTAAACTGACATAGCTTGAGCATCACTTTTTGTTCTCTCTGTGCTGTCTTTGAGTCATTGTGTTCTGAACTATTGTCCAAAGGAGAGTGGCAGATTGCTTTCGCTGGACTTAAACACAGACAAAGAGTGCCACTATCCTGGATGACTGTACTTGCGGCTTCCCCAAGACCCATCATTTTCCAGAACATACTCCTTAAGTCTGTTCTTTCTGACAATGGGCCGAGAAGTAGGGGAAAAAAAAAAAAAAAAAAAAAAAAAAAAAAAAGGCTTCCATGCAGGAATAACAAATTATTCCATGACTAAGATTTCCATGGATTTGCTCCCCAATCTGCTTCCCTCCTTCTCTCCACCCTCTGTGTTATGTCAAACAAAAAGGAAACTAAAACAGATTTTTTTTAAGAAAACTTGAAATGTTCTTTCTGTGAAAGATGATGTTTTGCTGAATCTCACATTTCCCATGAAAAACAGTTTAAATGAAAAATTTGCTGCCAGCCTTAACAAATAGGTTGTTTTCAGGTGGCACAGGGTTTAGGATGAATGGATGTGGTCTCTGGGCTTTCTTTAATTTATTATTTTTCTGTGTGTAGTCTTACAGAACTCTGCCAGTGAGAAGTATTTGTTATGTTTGGACAGAGATTAATTTACCTTTACTTACATATTATTTTTGTGTGTGTGCGTGAGTTGTTGTTTGTTGGTACTGGTTAATACGAAAATAAAATAGCAATGTTTGTATCGGGATGATTTCTATTAACAAACGAGAAGCATGTCATCATGAACTTTCTTTGGCAAGTCATTTCAACCTACTAACGAAATGCACTTTAATTGTGTTTATTTTTTGTGTGTTTGTGTTTTACTTACACAATATTGTGTTTATTTTTTATTTTTCTGTAGCACCAGGATTTGCTTGCTTGCAGAGCCTAATCTTATTTTGATGGATAATATATAAATTCAGAAAACAAACAAACAAACAAAAAAACAACAAAACACCCCATTTCTGTCCCAGAGCACTTACAATCTCAATGTAGGGAGAAAGATGAGACAGATGGGAAGCAAGAAGTAGGAATGAGGTATTATCACTCATCTTCATAGTGGTGTCAGCCCATCTAGAGTCCAATATTAGATAGCCCTTTTCAAGTTTTGGTAGGTGTTGTAGAAGATGAGATTATTAAAATCTTTGAAATGGGAGTAATAGGTTACACTGCAGATGCTTCTGAGGAACCCTTGCTAAGTGTGTAGGGCAGAGTAGGAGGCAGCACAGATGAATGTTTTTTTTTTTTTGACAGTCGGTGAGCAAGTGAGAGATGCAGGAGATGGTCTTTTGGCAGGGACTGAGCATGGAGCCTGGCTGGGAAGGGCCATGAGTGAGAGCTGGCCTGTGGCTGTGGCCAAATGCCAGGCATGCTTGCAAAATGCTGGCAGGTGAGCTGGTGGTGTGATAGACACCCCTGAGTCACAGTACTTTCTTCTAAGTATCTGTGCCATGTACTGCAGAAGGTTCAATTAAAAATAGTGCCTGGCTTGTAAGAATTTAATCTTCCATTAAAGCACAATACTTGATTGAAATAAGCCTAAAGCTTACTATTCACTTTACATTAGTCTGCAGCTTACCTTTCCCTCACACTGACTTGCCT